AATGAGGAAGAAATTGTTTCTAAGTGTCAACTAGAAACTTTGATAAGAATTTGAAGTCAACAAGCTAATGTAAAATGTTAGTTGGCCCTTTTTCAAGAGCAACAAGCTAAATGCCTGGTCAAGGTTTGAGGTAGCATGCCAGTAATAAAAGACTCAGTGAGTATCTCTAATAGGAATGGGGCCAGCTGCTTTCAAAAGCTTTCTTACAATTTGGATGAGAAGCCATCTGGACCTGAGCTTTTACTGCCTTGTAAAGATTTGACTGCAGCTGTGAGAGAGTGGTCCAGTTCTTTAGCCAGATTCTGGTTCAGGGCAAAAGTGCTACTGAGAGCAATCAAATGAATCCAGACACCTCTAAAATTACACAAAGTTTTTTTTTTGTATTCTAATGGGTTTGTAGAATAATTTATCTATCAAGATCCCTCAAAATATGGAGAAAGAGACACACAGGAGGAAGTCACTTGAGCTCTTTTACTTGCTCACAGAGTCCATGATTACATACAGTGCAGTGATGGACGTCAGCAAAGATGAGCAGCTTGTTTGTCAAGGGGTTCTTTTCTTTATGCAACTTGTGAGGTGTAACTTCCTGTTTTCTACAATTCAAATGTGGGACGGCCTCCTGTAATCTGGCGTCACAGCTGTTCACAGGAGGCCTGTTGTTGTCACACACCTTAAGTTTGTCTTGTTCCATCAACTTCTCTAACATTGCTTTCAAACAGCATAACGTCCTTATCACACAGTTACAATGCAGATAAGTTAGAGTATACCAGTGGAAGAAGACATCTAGTTTGTTGTTTTGAGCTGACAAGATGGTTTTTTTTTTGTTTGTTTGTTTTTTAATATGAATTTAAAGTCATAGACTAGTGAACCATGACTTTAAGTTGACCTTAAAACATGTATAACTAGTACATAATAACTAGTAACTAGTAACTCAATTTCCCTTTGCAACAAAAGAGAAGAGAGTTTCATTGAAAACAGTCCTAGATTTTGACGCGGCGCTCACCTCTGGAGGTCACCCTCGTCTCAAAGTGAAAAATCTTCTTAAAGGTGCAGCAGCAACGTCACACCGAATTTTATAAACCTAACAAAAGTTTGCATAAAATATCAGATTGTCAAAATGTTAAAAATAAAAATGATGATAATGTCTGGTTTTTTTTTTTATTTGTTGTCCTAATTCTTTAAGGCACTTTGATAGATTGACTCAAGAGGTTTTAAAACTGTTTTGCACACCTGGGATCAGCCAGTCACTCAGCATAAAAAAAAAACGTGAAAAGAAATCACAGAGTTCAGTTAAATATGTGAAGCCTCATTAGTAAGAGATAATACATATAGCTAAAGTTTGCAAAACTACTTTTTCTTAAACTTTCTGAGGCTTTTGATGTGATTTTTAAAGCTTAAATTTGGATCCAAAGTAGCACCGAACTATATAAATTCATCGTTCATCAACTCAATTGTTAATTTTCTTCCCATTTATATGAATGTCTGGATAATTTACAATTATCTGCCTATTTGTACAAACAAACAAACAAACATCTTTCCTGCATTTAGTATGGGACTAGATTTTTACAATCAGTGACATTCTTTAAAACTTCAGTTAATCTCAAGGCCACAGGCATGTGATGTGCTAATCTAAAAATGCAATGTATTCAGATAACCAAGTTATTTTTCCTCTAAATTTTCTTCTGGGTCTTGTAAATCTAATCTAATCTAATTTATCATCTTATAAGGCTTTATAACTTATCACGAAATAGATGCTGTCACCTCTACAGCTATACTACCAAAATTTTCTTTTTTTAGAGACAACGTTGACAAAGTCTGGTAATCTAGAATCAGATTATGTCTTGCATTATTACATTTTTGGGAATAAATGTTCATGAGCATAGTCCATACAGGCACTGTTACTGCAGGGTCAATAGCAAGTTTATGGATTTTATTTGGCCACACAATCAGCTCTCACTGAGGCCCAAAGCTCTGGGAGTTGATAGCCTGTGGTGAGTTTGAACGGGAGTGCTTTTCAAACATTTTCCTACAGAGAAGCAGTTTTCTCAGGTGAGGATAGTGACACAGCCCACCATGGTGAAGCAGAAGCTACTGGCCGTTGGAGAGCAGGTGAGGCACACAAACATCACTTATATCTTTAAAATGAACAAGGCTTTGGTTGTTTTTCATGAAGCAAGAAGCGTTAGTGACTCAGTCCACTTAATGAGTTTTTCACCACTGTTGAACTCCTCTGGGTAGGGAAAATACATCAAATCCTCCAGATCGCTGAGGAAAATCACTGTAGTTCCTCAATCTGTGCAATTGAGAGCTTTTGTTGAAAAAAGGTGCCTTTTTGTAGCCAGACCGAGACTGTAGACCTTTTTCTATCATGCCAAAGTTTAGAGGGTAAATTTAGACTTGTAGAAGAGGGACTCTCGAAGAAAGTGTTTCTATACCGCTTTTAAATTATGGTTCTAAACATACTGCAGACGAAAAAGACCTTGAGCTTACTAAAAAAAATTTTTTTGGAGTTGAAAACTATGGTGGTTGTGAGCTTTAAGGGTTTGCATGCCTTTGGCTTGAAAGTAGAGAGTGTACAGCGGGTAAAATAAGTATTGAACACGTCACCATTTTTCTCAGTAAATATATTACTAGAGGTGCTAATGACATGAAATTTTCACCAGATGTCGGTAACAACCCAAGTGATCCATACATACAAAGAAATCAAACCATAAATGTCCAGAAATGAAGTTATTTGTAATAATGTGGAATGGCACAGGGAAAAAGTATTGAACACATGAAGAAAGGGAGGTGTAAAAAGGCATGGAAAGACAAGACACCAGCTGAACTCTCTCAGTAATTAGAAAGCAAGCCTGCCCCTTGTCAGTGCAAGTTAATATCAGCTGGTTCAGTCCCAAATGATGGCCAGGTATCACACAAGAACCATCTGATGATGGGTAAAAGTAAAGAGCTCTCTCAAGACCTTCACAACCTTATTGTTGCAAAGCATAATGATGGCATCGGTTACAGAAGAATGTCTAAACTTCTGAAGGTTCCAGTGAGCACTGTTGGGGCCATAATTCAGAAGTGGAAAGAACATCATTTCACCATAAACCGACCACGACCAGGTGCTCCTCACAAGATTTCTGACAGAGGAGTGAAAAGAATTATCAGAAGAGTTGTCCAAGAGCCAAGGACCACTTGTGGAGAGCTTCAGAAAGACCTGGAATTAGCAGGTACGTTTGTTTCAAAGAAAACAATAAGTAATGCACTGAACCACCATGGCCTGTATGCACGCTCACCACGCAAGACTCCACTGCTGAAGAAACAGCATGTTGAAGCTCCTTTAAAGTTTGCTGCACAACATTTAAACAAGCCTGTGTAATACTGGGAGAATATAGTCTGGTCAGATGAGACCAACATTGAACTGTTTGGATGCCAGAATACACATCATGTTTGGAGGTCAAATGGCACTGCACATCAGCCCAAAAACACCATACCAACAGTGAAGTTTGGAGGTGGGAACATCATGGTGTGGGGCTGTTTTTCAGCATATGGTACTGGCAAACTTCAAATAATTGAAGGAAGGATGAATGGAAAAATGTACAGAGACATTCTTGATAAAAATCTGCTTCCATCTACCAGGATGATGAAGATGAAACGTGGCTGGACATTTCAGCAAGACAATGAGCCCAAACACAAAGCCAAGGAAACTCTCAGTTGGTTTCAGAGAAAGAAACTAAAGCTGCTGGAATGGCCCAGCCAATCACCTGACCTGAATCCAACAGAAAACCTATGGAAAGAACTAAAGATCAGAGTTCATAGAAGAGGTCCACGAAACCTTCAAGATTTGAAGACTGTTTGTGTGGAAGAATGGGCCAAAATCACACCTGAGCAATGCATGCCACTAGTTTCTCCATACAGGAGGCGTCTTGAAGCTGTCATTGACAACAAAGGCTTTTGTACAAAGTATTAGATAAATTTCAGTAAGTGTGTTCAATACTTTTTCCCTGTGCCATTCCACATTATTAYAAATAACTTCATTTCTGGACATTTATGGTTTGATTTCTTTGTATGTATGGATCACTTGGGTTGTTACCAACATCTGGTGAAAATTTCATGTCATTAGCACCTCTAGTAATATATTTACCGAGAAAAATGGTGACGTGTTCAATACTTATTTTACCCGCTGTATGTTACACCCTCACAGGCAACCTTGGCTCGTTTAATTATCACTGGAGCATCAGTTTATATGCTACCTGAGCGAAGATATTTTTCAAGAATTCTTTTTTAACTTAACATACTGGTAACCTGTGATGTGTTATTGGGCTTTATGGAAAGTAATTTTGAAACTGTAGCTTCGTTTTGGTACTTTAATCTTTTTGGGTTTGTACTGTTTGCGAAATGGTTTAAACAAGTTTTGTCAAGTCTTCCTTTCTTTATTCCTAAACCATTTTTGTCTTTGTCCAAATTTTGAGATTGATCATTGGAGACGTTACAGACACATCTGTTGAAAATGTTTCAAAGGAACAAACGACATGTTTGAAGTTTGGTTGTCTTATTCCAGAGTTGTACCCTCCTCATTTGTACAAATCTACTTAAAGCCATGGAATGGGTGAATATAAAAACTGGAATACATTCTGGAAATCCTTGGTTTTATTTATTTTACTGTCCAAATGTTTTTAAAAAGTAAATTCTAACTTGATTCTTGTTCAAACTACAACTGTTATGTTTATGTCGAGGTAAATTCACACAGTAAAATGAATGTTACTAATGACATAAACTCAAAGTCTAGTGACCAAATTTTGAACAAGAAAACTACTTGTGGGTTCTTGGGACAAGATGCACTTCATCTCATTTCTCCACTGGGTGGTGCACTGAGACAATTTTTTTTTTGTATGTGTTAATTGTAGGTCCCTAACAGATTAAAGGGAATACATTCCATAATTCAAATGAATATATTTTAAAATATTTGGGTAAATAACATTTAAATATGACAAAAAAACTGTTCACTCTTTAAATTGTTTTGGCACTTTAATGTGGAATGAAAATGTGAAAAGTAAATTTTATTTAAATTTTTTTTTCCTGTGAGCTAAATACGTTCAATACATCGTCATTGTCTATTTTCAGTTTCATCCAGTGTGGACCCTGAAGTCCTGGATCACTAACACAGTAATAATACATGCTGAAATGTAACAAACAATAATGAAAGAACATGTTTCAAATTTTTACAGTTAAAACATCGACTTTTTAAAATCACTTTTGTCATTTTTTACTAATATTAATTTCTGAAAATAATGGTAGCCCTCTTTTTAAAAATAAAATCCAAATCCCATTTGCTCAGTTAACAAAAAGGTCACAAGGTAAAAGGTCTAAGTAAATCAGTTTAAAAACAAACGATTACAGAAACAAAGTGAAGAAAAAGGGAAGAGAGCTCTTGGCACAGCAGCAGGTATCAGCTAAAGAGTAATTCACCTGCTTTTACATGTTACAACGTTAGACCTAAGCAGAATCTGACTTATTTTTGGACATTGTAACAATGCAACAAACTGTCCATTCCACCTGAATGAGGACGATGAAGATATTCTGGCTTCCATTTTTCTCATGCTGTCTCATCTGATCCTTTGATTTCTATTTTTTCACCATCCTTCCAGGACATTTGTGTGACCCCACAGTTAATACATCAAATTACAATACATATTTTGTATTTTAAAAAAGGAGGGGGGAGGGGAGGTACAGAAAAATGTACTTTGACAAAACAACCATCTACTTGGTCCTAATAAAAAATGAAAAAAATGAAAAATAAAAAAATAATAATTTCTCCATCTCGACTCTGTCATTAAGGATAACATGGCACTTCTCCCATCTCGCTGTGTTACTGGTCGAACAGCAGCACTGCTCTGGTGGTGCAGCAGGCAGGATCAGAGCTGGCTCTCTGTTTCACATTTGTCAGTTCCGTTCTCCAGCGGCCAAGTGGACAGAACCAGCTCATTGAAGTTCATGTTGCTCTCGTTGAGTCGTTGTACACGGTAAGTCTCATAGTGGATGTTGTGTGTCACATCCTTCAGGTCCTGCAGGTGGGACCTTTGAAAAAAACAAAACAAAAAAACAAAAGGGAATCACAACGAGCTGCATTTTGCTATTTGGTTTTCTTGATGTGTGTGACTCAGACCAACAACCCTTATCCAAGATACTGGAACACTGCATAAAATTCAACCCCCACAGGTGATAAAGGGGTCACAATACTCTATAATACAATATATTGTCATTTTTTCTCCCAAAATTCTAACTTAAAAAACTTTGTATGTTTAATATGTATTTTATTTGTTTCATATTTCTTATTTTTTCCATGTTTCCAATGGTTAGGCCACATGTGCCATTAAATATTTTAACACATTTGTAGTAGCTTTGGATTTATATTATCAATTTATTATAAAAATATAGTCACCCTACACCAGGGGTCTCCAACCTTTACCTCTGTAAGAGCTACTTTCACAAAATGAAATTGTCCGAGAGCTACTTTTTGCAACATTTAAATTTAAACTTAAACCTTGGAATAAGTTTGTTTTGCACAAACAACAACAACAACAACAACAACAACAACAACATTGTCTTCAGTTCACATGAAACTATCACAAAATATGCTGAATTTACATGAAAGTGCTTTTTGTGTTTATCCATTCATATTATAGTTTATGTCACACTAATACCTTAGGGTTTAACTGCAACAGATTTGTGCACAAATAACATCGGGTGACTGGTCTCCGATTTGTTTCTGCATTGTACACTCCAGCAGGAAGAAACCCCCTGTAGTGACATGCACCGCAGCGGGGGAGGTTTCTCAGGAGTTTGGCACAGTGTGTCTCAAGAGGCTATGAAAGGTGTGTGCGAAAATGAATGCCGAACAACCACGTATTGCGTGTTGTCTGCGAATTGACCATACTGAGCCCTAAACTGTTTGATTGACAACCCAGGGGAAGGGACATCTATAGATTGATTGGAATTAAATTAAACTTTGTTTGGTCAGTTACAAAATTTTGCTTCGCCAAGTTTTCACAAGCACTGAAGAGCTACTTTAAATGAGCTCACGAGCTGCTGGTTGGAGACCCCTGCCCTACACATTAACAATATATCTTATGCTGAAGTTCCGTAAACAGGTGCAATGAAGTTGCTGTAGTCTGTTACTGTCATCGGGGTCCCTTAAGGGGGTAGCACAAAGATGCCAGACATTTCAATGCTCTCAGCGGTCGTTGCATTTGGCCACTTTAGTGCCATCCCTCGGGGTCCTCCTTAAGCCGCTAGACAAATGCCGAATCGTGACAGCTCTGATTGCAGGCTACTGTCAGGAGAAAGTTTTTCCAGTATGAGACGCTTCAATTTGGCTTAAAATACAGACATTCTGGCTAATACAGAACAGCTGACAACCCTACTTTCACTCTGAAAGGCAGTGGTTGTCTGTCTAATCCGCTCAGATTCAGCTATTGGTACTTAGTGCTAATGTTTACTCACGATACAATGTTTGAGCTATCATTATACTCTGGCTATTTAAAAGTGGAGGAGCCAAAACTACGTTCCATTTTAAGCCTTAATTAAATTTTGAGACAGTTCTTTAGACAATCGATACAGTATCGAGAAACGAAATATCACAATACTTTATTGATATTTTCTTGTACCCTTACACAAAACAACAAATCTATCACCACATTTGTGAATTTTAACTTTAACAAATAGTAAGTTTGGAAAATGGAGAGTTACCGTATGTTACTGAGGTGAATAGAAAAACAGGTTGTGTTTCTAAAACAAACATGACAGTGTTGGTCATTGTGAATAATAAATCACCACCAAAACCAAGGTAAACATCCAGATGCAGGAATAAAGAACATTACGGGTATGTGTGTGTGTGTGTGTGTGTGTGTGTGCGTGCGTGGGGATCAGTGATAATGACCAGCCACGTTAAAAATAGTTACTAAAAAGGATAGTGTACTGTATATACATACATACATACATACATACATACATACATACATACATACATACATACACATACTATGTATATATACAGTATATATATATATATATATATATACATATATATATATAAATGAACTGAGTTCATTCATCATGTTTTGAAAATGATACAAGGGAAACAGAGTATCTTATCGAACGGTTAAAGGAGCACTTTGAGGATCTCCTTAATCCGTCCACCATGTCCATCTTTAAGGAGTTAGACTCTGAGGACACGGGGGAAGATGGGTCCACTGCCCTGGCAGAGGTCATCAAGGTGGTCAAAAGTCTCCTCTGTGGCAGGGCGCCAGGGGAGGATGAGATTCGCTCTGAGATGTTAAAGGCTCTGGATGCCGTAGAGCTGTCATGGTTGACATATCTAAAGTCGCATGGAGGACTGGGACAATGCCTTTGGAGTGGCAGACTGGGGTGCTGGTTCCCATTTTTATAAAAGGGGGCTGGAGAGTGTGTTCTAACTATTGTGGGATCACACTTCTAGCCCTACCGTAGAATAGAATAGAATAGAATAGAATAGAATAGAATAGAATAGAATAGAATAGAAACAGCCTTTATTGTCCTGCGGTGGGGAAATTGATGTGTGACAGAAGCAGCAGATACATCAATCCACAAAACAATATATTGCTATGTGGCATTTCAACTGTAGCAATAATAATAGAATTAAAGTAATAATAATAAAAATTAAAAATAGAATAAAAATAAAAATTACTGTATAAGACTATAAAGATGAAATAAGATAAAAAGAACAAAGAAAAGCAAGATACCGTGCAGAAAAAGAAAAAAAATTACAAGAAAACATTTCAAACAGAAGCTACAGTGCCTGATCCACATTAAAAAATCCCCTCATTGTTTTGAATCAAACCCTATGATTGACTACATTACACTCTAAATATAGTTACCAATCTAAGCATGTTCAGGGCTGCTATCATCACAAAACATTCACTTTGAACAGTTTTTAAATCAGTTCCATTTCTTATTAATCAAGAGAAGCAGCAGTCATACTCACCTAATGAGTAAATCTCTCAGGTTGGCAAACTCACAGTGCGCCACATTTTCAACTGTGAAAGGAAAAAATATGGTTATTTTTGGTTTTAAAATGCTGTCTTTGTGCATACTCAACCTAACAAAATACATGACAAATACTCTTAAACAGACCCCTAGTGCGTCCGTGGAGACACTGCAGGGGGCTCATGAAATTTTTGATTAATTAGATGTTTTTTTTAACTTTTTATTTCATTTCAGCATTATGTTTTTAAACACACATTAACATGAGTCCAGCCAAGTAATAAATGCAGGCATAAAATGAAGTATTTCAATCAGAAATGCATACATTCAGTGAGCACACCAGCTGAACCCGACTATATAGGTCCATGGACCATCTCTTCACCAGTTTGGGGGTCCCAGACTGAAAAACATTGAAGATCCCTACTCTAAAAGGCATTAAAAACTAAAATAAATGTCCGTATTGAAGTCTGGTGTGCACACAGACCCCACAACCCTTTTATTTAACAAGCACCTTGTCAAACTACATATGTGTTTAGTTATCATCTACAGCAATAACCACATTACAAGGTGTGAAAAGCAAATCTCAGTTTATGTGATGCAAACAAAACAGGCACAGAAAATAAAACTGAGGAACTGAAACATCTGTGAAATGCTATTTGAATGCTAAGTGCTGAATGACTAGCTAAAAGCTATTGACCCTTTGCACCTACGTCACCAAGTCACGTGGGGACGCCGTGACAGACGTCAGAAGTGAGGGAGAGAGACAGACAGAATGATGCGATTGTTTTTTGGGTTTTGCCGTGGCTTCTAGCTTTCTCGCTGAAGTCAAGCTAATTTGTGGTAGCAGACCTAGGTGAGCTCATAGACAGCTGTATTTACATAAGTTAACATAGCTGACCAGTAAAATAGACTAGGAAAGTTCTGTCACACACGTCAACCCCTTCAGACGGTTACCTGCATTTTGATCCTCAAAAATCCAATTGAGCTGGCTATTTAATTGTATTTATTTTTTATTTTTTCACATCCTACAGGCTCTGACATGTAAAATAAATTTGAAGCTGAGTTAAATAGTCAAAATAAAAAACAGGAGATAAACCGTATTGCTATGTCCGTCTGCAAAATGAGGAAAAATCCATGTAATTTGTGGACAATCTCTACAACTTATACACTCACCGGCCACTTTATTAGGTACACCTGTCCAACTGCTAGTTAACACTTAATTTCTAATCAGCCAATCACATGGCGGCAACTCAGTGCATTTAGGCATGTAGACATGGTCAAGACAATCTCCTGCAGTTCAAACCGAGCATCAGTATGGGGAAGAAAGGTGATTTGAGTGCCTTTGAACATGGCATGGTTGTTGGTGCCAGAAGGGCTGGTCTGAGTATTTCAGAAACTGCTGATCTACTGGGATTTTCACRCACAACCATCTCTAGGGTTTACAGAGAATGGTCCGAAAAAGAAAAAACATCCAGTGAGCGGCAGTCCTGTGGGCGGAAATGCCTTGTTGATGCCARAGGTCAGAGGAGATTGGGCAGACTGGTTCGAGCTGATAGAAAGGCAACAGTGACTCAAATAACCACCCGTTACAACCAAGGTAGGCAGAAGAGCATCTCTGAACACACAACATGTTGAACTTTGAGGCAGATGGGCTTCAGCAGCAGAAGACCACACCGGGTGCCACTCCTTTCAGCTAAGAACAGGAAACTGAGGCTACAATTTGCACAAGCTCATCGAAATTGGACAAGAGAAGATTGGAAAAACGTTGCCTGGTCTGATTAGTCTCGATTTCTGCTGCGACATTTGGATGGTAGGGTCAGAATTTGGCGTCAACAACATGAAAGCATGGATCCATCCTGCCTTGTATCAACGTTTCAGGCTGGTGGTGGTGGTGTCATGGTGTGGGGAATCTTTTCTTGGCACTCTTTGGGCCCCTTGGTACCAATTGAGCATCGTTGCAACGCCACAGCCTACCTGAGTATTGTTGCTGACCATGTCCATCCCTTTATGACCACAATGTACCCAACATCTGATGGCTACTTTCAGCAGGATAATGCGCCATGTCATAAAGCTGGAATCATCTCAGACTGGTTTCTTGAACATGACAATGAGTTCACTGTACTCAAATGGCCTCCACAGTCACCAGATCTCAATCCAATAGAGCATCTTTGGGATGTGGTGGAACGGGAGATTCTCATCATGGATGTGCAGCCGACAAATCTGCGGCAACTGTGTGATGCCATCATGTCAATATGGACCAAAATCTCTGAGGAATGCTTCCAGCACCTTGTTGAATCTATGCCACGAAGAATTGAGGCAGTTCTGAAGGCAAAAGGGGGTCCAACCCATTACTAGCGTGGTGTACCTAATAAAGTGGCCGGTGAGTGTATATGCTGTCACCAAGATTGATTTCTGTCATCTGTAAAAATGAAAAAGGAAAAAAAAAAACATGTTTTAACCATCCTGAATTGGGCGGATCTGTCCTGAGGAGGTGAGGAGAGTTCACCTGTTCACGTGGTGTCAGTGCATCAGAACCAGAGGAGCTGTTTCTCACAGCTGCCGATCGACAGTCCACTTCTCAGCCGCCCCAGTTGGATCACATGTGACTAATACAGACTTTTTGCACGGAGGATTGTGTGTCTAAGAGTGAGTGTGTGTGTGGATTTGTTTTAGTTTATTGTGAGGACCCACAGTTCACCAAATGTCTGTTTTTCTTGACTAGCTGTGCAGAAGTTTACTCGCGCACACATTGTTTTTGACGACCGTCATGGCGAAGTGGCCGGTTTTCTGAAGCGCGTGACGTCACGTGCAAAGGGTCAATAAGGAAAATGCTAATGGCTAAAAGAAGCAAACTGATGCAAGAACATGCTAGCTAAAAGGTAAAATCAGCACAAGGACAAGCTAAAATGAGCAAAACACTTTAGAAGTAAAAGGACAGATAAAAGCTAAAAACAAAGTTTCTGAAGGAACTAAAATGTTCTTAATATTTATCTACAGGAAATTCATATTCATAAATATTTCAATAAAGATAAATGTTGCAAAACCATAACTAATTGCAACCATCTCCTGAATGAGCAAAAACATGTGCTTGTGTGTGGTAGCTTACAAAAGAATCCTACACAAAAAGGAGATGGTTACTTCAGAGTCCGAAAATAAAAAAGTATCCAGGTTTGTACTGATGCAGCTGTTAGAAGTGTTGGTCTGCCATGCCAAACTTCAGCTCATAATGGATTTCCCGTGGCTTCTAAATCCTAAAACCAGGTGTGAAACTGAAAGCTTACCTTCAATGATTCCCCACTTCGTTTTACGGCCCAGAACCTTGTTTCCATTCACCTGGTGCTCCTTGTCAGTTCCCACCACAGCATAGGGAATGTTTTCCTGGATAAAGAAAATGATAGTTTTTTTTTTCTTTTTAACCTTTGAGTTCAACAGTATCATTTAACTGTGAGCTGTTTATTTTCATCTCTATGGGAACAAAAGTCATTTAAAGTATTTGCTTCTTTTTCATTTAGACGTTGGGTTTCTTAAGTCACATTGAAACAAATGACTCAAACAGCTCAGTGTTTATGAACTTTGCTAAATTCGGACTCATTCTTAAATCTTCTCACTTTAAAAGAATATCAGCTTTGGGATTCATACCCTAATCCTGTCATTGAGGGTGCGCTCTTCTGGGTCCTCATCGTGCTCTCTCTGGGGATAAACACAAATTCCGTTGGCTAGCAAGTCTTGCTTTATCTGCAAAAAGGTCAAACAATAAACAAAGGTCAACGGGTCAGTTTACAGTCAAAGCTGTACAAGTCAGACGATGTCATGAAGGGGTGTGTTGGTGTGCTGCTGCTTTCTTAAACCTGAGACCCATAAAATCAAACGCTCAACCAGACAAATCTTTTTTTTTGTTTTTCACCTTTTCAGGCAATTTGAGTGAAGACAGTGGAGTTAAAAATGTGGTTTACATGATAAAAGGAAAAATATTATGGATGGGATGCAAATAAAAAAGTAATTAAAGACAGTTTAATTAATTCTCTTGATTAATCCCATTTTAATCACATTTTTCTAATAGTAATACTCAACACAATGTGCTAAACTGTTCCAATTCTCACAAATTATAGTTGGATCAAGAATAATCATCCCTGAAGATTAAACCACAAAATATGTTTATTTATTATCTTATATATTTATTTTTAGTACATTCAAAGATTAGTACAAATTCAAGGTTTAAATAAAATTATATTTATAATAATAATGATGATAATGATAAAGCACAATTTAATAAAAATGTTATTATAAAGCTTCAGTTCACTGCAATCTATTACACCAAAGAGTTTTTTTTAACTAGACAGACTTATTTATCAACCCACATTTGGTTTATTGAGTGTACGATGTTTGTAATCAGTTTCAGCGACCACATGCCCACATTTAATAAATGACACCTAGCCTAGATCGGCTATGGTAGTAGGAAAACTCGGTAAAGGCACAATTTACACTCGACTATGTTCCTGCTGCTTCCATCAGGATTTATTTTTTAAATGTCCTGCCCAAAACACAGGGTTCTTCTTGTCCTCTATTGCTTTTACTGTTACACTGAACAAAATAAAGGCCTAATTCAGTCATTATTATGAATGGAGAAAGTCATATTGTTTTACGTTGAGCATATCAGTATTCAACTGGTTCTTATGTTTGTTCATATGATGGTCTGTGTGTCATCTGAAAACAAAACACTGTTTTGAGAAGAACTACAATAATTTTGTTTTGAATGTAAAGTTTCATTCTGCAGGTTTTGCCCTTTGTGTGTGTGATTTTAGATTTGTATGTAGAGTTCTGACAGTATGAAGCATGGCTTCAGAAAATGTGTCTAAACAATCAAGAAAAACTGTAATGAACGTCTTTAGCATTGGGCAGCTAGCAAACTAATTTTATGTGCATTTCCGCCACGTACCGGGCTGGACTGTGAGCAGCAGCAGCATTGGTGTATGGAGGACCAAAACTGACATAATAGATGCAGAAACATAGAAATGGATCAATAAATAAATAAATAAATACACTTAAAATGCACCAATTAATTTAAAAAAGGGAGAACTTTACCTCTTTTTATATTTGAATTGACTTACATATTTATTTTTCCAGCTTAGTTCCAATAAATATTTTAGCATATAAATACAATTTTACTGGTTTTAAAAATATGTTTTATTTTTCTATTTACTTGTACATTTGTTGCTCTTAAACGTTTTTATGTAATATCTTTAATTTGTTTTTCGCCCATAAGTCTTAATTTCCATGTGTTGCTTTTACAGGATCCATGCGCAGCTCTACTGTGCATGCTTGTGCTGCCTCAGTTTAGCCTAAAGTTTAAAGTAAGAAAGTGAGGCAGCACAAGCATGCACAGTAGAGCTGTACATGGATCCTGCTCCTTCCTGTTTGTTGACCAATAGCAGAGGAGCTGACCCAAGAAGCTCCGCCCACATTGTTTGCATAACGAGGCAGAAATGCATACGGTAATGTAAATATAGGAGACAGAGAAACGTAAAAACATAAAACAGTGCATTACAAGGTAAGTAAAGATGAAAAGAATGTTTTTATTACATGTCAACATTAAAAAAGATATCTTAAAATGACCTTAAAGTAAAATAAAGAAAAAGTAAGATTACAGAAACGAATTATAAAAGAAAAACTCACACTGCTAGTGAAAGTGTGTGATCATTTGATTTACCCTGTCTTTGAACTCCTGTCTTTCTTCAACAGTGAGTGTGTCAGCTTTGGCAATAACAGGTAAGATGCTCACTATGTTCCCCAACCTCTTCATGAACTCAATGTCAATAGGGCGTAACCTGGAAACACAATACGTTGTCAATTGATAAAACATAAAACAAAGATATTGTCTTTCTTAATATTTAAAAGCCATGCTGCATTTGTGTACAATGCAGTTTCTTGTGTCTCAATAGGATGTGACTGTTGGATGAGTGTTTGTAACCAGGAATCAACGAGCTGTACAGTCATGTTTTGATGTTTTGTGCAGTCAGTTTTAGAAAATCATGGCCTATTTTTCATGTATTCTAGGCTGCGCAGATTATTTTGTTGCCCATCTCCATTTGCTTTCTACCCCGCCTGGCAGCTGCCCACACATTCATCATTTAGTATGTAGTCACACCAGGAAAGTTCTTTGGTCCACTTGTTTGGTCTGGACCAAACTGCAAACTTTATGTTTCTCCTTTGGTGTGGTTTGCATTCACATTGGGCTTTTTGTAAGTGAACTATAATTTATAAACAAAGTCACGAAGGACAGAAATGACGAGGGCAGGACAGAGCACAGACCCAGAAATAAAGATGGTGCTGTTAATACAACTGACTATTATGAATATGAAGAGCAGCTCAGTCAAAGGTGGTTTTGCAATGATATACTTATTATTTTGGGATGGTGTTGGCAAATGTGTACCGCAACCTAAAGGAGATGAGATGCTCCACGTTGACCCACAACGGCTCATTGTTTGTAGCGTAGTGTTAGCATTAGCAACACTGAAGGGCTAATTGTTACCATGATGCTTAGCGATGGTGGCTCGTTAAGTCCAAAACGGTGCATGTTCCCTGTAGTTGGTTCAGTGTTAAGTGTACGGCACCAGAGTTCATTTGGAAGCAGACCGAGACCACTTCAAAGTGGGTCTTGGTCTGGTTGTTTGTTCCGCACCAGGGTTCACATGAGTGTATTCACATCGAGGGAAACAAACTCTGGTCTGTTTAAACCGGACCAAAGTGTCAGGTGTGAATACACCTTAAAATACTCTCACTGAGCAACAGACACAAGTTTGTGGTCTGAACTGTTTCGCCTACAGTCCAGACCTTCCACCTAATAAAAACATCTGGACTGCTCTAAGACAAAAAGGGAAGTAAAACAACACCCTGACCAAGAAAAGACATTAGTTGGTGAATAACTGTGTTGAGTGAACATTCACCTGTGTCCAGTGGCTGGGAGGAAGTAGATGCAGCAGTGCACTCTGCTGTCAGGTATTCTCCTCTTACGGTTGATCTTCAGCTCCTCTCTCAGGTATTTCTCATACTGCTCATTGACATACTTCACTATGGGCTCCCAGCTGCAGAACAGAGCAACACACACAGGCTACAGAAACACACTGGAGCAACAATGGGATTATTTCAAGATATTATTAGTTTCCTTTATTTCTATTTCAACAGAGCCAAATAAACTGGTGGGTGATGGTGATTTTGTTCCCTCTGTGTGTTAACCTGTGCACATGAACTCACATTGCATTTCTCCAGTTTAGTTCACTTGTTCATTCGGCTTTACTAACAAATGTTAACCTGTTTCAGACCAAAACATTTTTGTTTGGGATCAGTAAAAGAAAAAAAGAGATAAATTACAGGTTCATTCATTTCTAAACCTGAAAACATCACCTCTTGTCNGTGTGTGTGTGTGTGTGTGTGTGTGTGTGTGTGTGTGTGTGTGTGTGTGTGTGTGTGTGTGTACAACTCACCGTGACTGACTGCATGTAGTTTGACTGTTTTTAAAATCTTCTCCTCATACTTGGGTGTGCAGGATTTCCGGCTGACTTTGGACTTGAACAGAGTGTTGACTAGTGTGGATTTTCCCAAACCACTCTGACCTGCAGAAAAAATAAAAATAAAAAATTATCTCTGTGCTTGTATTTTTGTGCCTTTGTTTAAAGAGAATTTAAAAACTTCCATAAATTCCCTATTTTATAACATAAAACTGAGAAATGACTCCTGCGATTTTGTCAAACTGCTTCATAAAATGGTAACAAAAATCACAGCTCAGAACCAATAAAATGTTATTTGAATAGAGCTTTGCAGATGTGTGTGTAAAAGGGTTGGGTTGTGTGTGTGTGTGTGTGTGGGGGGGGGGTGCCTCGACACCCAAACAGAACCCTCCATCCCATCTTGAAGATCATGGCATGTATTAAATTAATAAATATCTGTATGTGTTTGCATGTGACCAAATTACTGTGGCTGGACCAAAGCCACCATTATCATCATCACCCCATGATCTTCCTGGTACTTTTGCTTCTAAAATTTAACACTGTAATAAATATTATGGTGTCTGGAGTGTCATCATTAATGTACAACCACACTGACTTGCATGCATGACCAAACTCCCACTAGCAGAGAGCGCGTGCTGAGGTGTCAGCTCCAGCAGGATGAGTCCTATGGGATCGCACACAGCTCGAGTGTCGCTCTTGGTGTGACTCACCGTTTCTGCTGCTTTAGGTCTTGGAACTAATAATAATAATAATAATAATAATAATAATAATAATAATAAAAAACAGCACTAAACTACAGCTTGATTGGAACAAGTCAAACTCTGAGCTGAAGTAATGTTTCAGAACTGCAACACTGACTTAAACAGGCAAACACAGCTAACGTTATACCTTTACACGGAGCCCGCTAGTGGACATGAGGGGATAATTTTTGTTTTGTGTTACCTCACAATACTTTTTGAGTTCTCACGCAAAAATTTGTTTTAACTGTATTGAATCAGACTTTTATTTTGAAATATCCAGTTACCAAAACAGGCTGCGTCACCACAAATTTGTGGCTGCATAGAATTAAAATTTCTTCATTTTACATACAGTAGTACCTCCATGCGTGGCTGTGATACATTCATTCTGAAGTTGAATTAAACTAGTAGGCTATCTCCAGTATAATGGTGAGTATGTGAATGTGTTAATAAACCAGCAGGCACAACAGTAATAAATAGACTTTGCAAGGGAATGCAAAAAAATTATTAAATTAATTAAATATAATCCCCACATGTCCTCTTGCAGGCTCTGTACCTACATCCCCCACTTACTTCACTCCCAACTGTTTCTGGCTTAAAAAGATTTGACTTCTTTCATCTCAGAGGTGATTTGAATCTACATTAGTTATGTAACCTTAATTGACAAAAGGGTGGCAATATGTAAATTTGCAAAAATGAAACAAAAACAAAAACATAAACAAAAGAGACCTGCTTGTTTTGGTTTACCTTATATGTTTCTTCTAAAGATTATTTCTGACTAAAATGCTAGTTATTTAAAAAAAACAATAAATGAAACAAAGTAAATGATACTTAAGCTAGATCAAGAGGAAATTAATATCCTCTTGTTGGGCTATCCTGCCACTCACCAGTTCTCATTGTTGATCTGATCTCCAAACCCTGGAGTGTCAATCACTGTCAGCTTCATCTTCACCCCTTTTTCCTCAATCACTGAAAATAAAGATAAAAAGATAAAGGTTAGGAGGCAAGGACAGAGATATACTGATCAAATATTTACATCAGCTAATGTTTGGCTTTATGTCAGTGAGCAGCTGAGTTGAAAAAGAAAGAGAGAAAAAAGACATCAAGAGCAGAAAGCATATATTAACCTGGTGAGTCCTGACACATTATCTTTTATCTAAAACTAACATTTTTCATTTGATTTCTAGTTTACAAAAATGTTTTTCACTCTACATCAGCACCGAAAAGTCAGAGTTGGTGTAAGGATGCCTCCAGAAGGTTTTTGAAGGAGAACCAAATGGAGACCACTGATCTCAGGGTGGCACACCAAAACCAGATCATCACAGTATTTCAGGAGTTTTATTATGCTGTTGTCCTATAAAGAAAATAAAAAACCTACAAAATAGAAGTTAGGGATACTTTGGTGTTTTACCTTATTAATAATATTACTGAGAACAGTACAGTCACCAGTCAGCTCACTGAAGCTCATATTTTCTCTTAAAGTCACATCATTAAAATTAGCATTTCTTGATGCATAGCTATGGGATAAGATAACTGTCAGAATCATTGTATGTGTAAGAGTCTAAATTTGTACATGCAAGTCTATAAATGTACATAAATTTGTTTCAACTTTGCCACATTACAAGTACGAATCAAATTTACAAGTACGAATCAAATTTACAAGTACAATTCTTTTACTCGTCAAAATAACAGACATTATGCATGGAACACCGAAAGGATCGACTGCAAACAGTAACTAAGCCAGACCACTAGGGGGACATGACCACTGCCTCATTTGGGACCAGATGAACTCTTTATAAACACAACAATTTGCTGAAGGGAAAAGCATTTGGAGGCTTTTCAGTTTCAGTTTCTTCAGCAAATTGTTGTGTTTATAAAGAGTTCATCTTGTCCCAAATGAGGCAGTGGTCATGTCCCCCTAGTGGTCTGGCTTAGTTACTGTTTGCAATCGATCTTTTTGGTGTTCCATGCATAATGTCTGTTATTTTGACAGGTAAAAGAATTGTACTTGTAAATTTGGTTCGTATTTGTAATGTGGAAAAGTTGTAACNGTGTGTGTGTGTGTGTGTGTGTGTGTGTGTGTGTGTACTTGTTTTTGTTACCTATTTAGGGCCGTTTCCAGTACACACACCTACCTTGTCAAGACCAGTAGTGCTAATGGGGACCAAAGACCGGTCCTAATATGGTGGAACTCCATTTTTGGGTTGGGGTTTGGGTTTAGGACCAAGGTATGAATTGAGTTTAGGTTAGTTTTAGGGTCAGGTAGGTACCTGTGAGGTTAGCCTTAGGGTTTGTGGTCAGGGTTAGGCTGTAGAAATTACTGGAAATGAATCGAAGTCAATGTACGGTCCTAATAAGTATAGTAATACAAACGTGTGTGTGTGTGTGTGTGTGTGTGTGTGTGTGTGTGTGTGTGTGTGTGTGTGTGTGTGTGTGTGTGTGTGTGTAGCAGGAAAGAGTATGCAGGACCAGCTCTCTAAACCACTTCCTCACAGAATCGTTCTTCCTTTTTGAAAGTATGAAACCAAACATATAGAGTAAGAGTTACTGCTGCAACATACCAACAAAAACATGAACACACATACAGCTCCACTCAAACCCTTTCAGCACTTTTCATATTTAATATATGTACTTGTAAAAATGGAGATAAAACTCAATATTGGTGGTTTTCGAACTGAGAAAAATCATTTCTTAATATTTTTGTAGGTAGCGATGGTACAGATGGCAAAACATTTGTCAGTAGACTTAGGTCGTATTCACACCTGATAGTCCGATATACTCGATTGGGGACCAAAACTGCAAAATTTGTTTACATTTTCAGCTGATGCTGTTTGAACAACCTGTTCCCTCCCTCGCCTGTGGTGGCGCTGCACCAAGAACCAGTGAAGGAATCAACACAAAAACCACAGAAGACGACGGAGTGCAATTTCCTTCTTCACAAAATGTAAACAAACATGGAGTGACGTCAGATTTTAGTGGTTGTAGGATTTATTTTTTTGTTTTTTGGCAAATGTGTCGAACAACCACTCTTCAACAATGGACTCTGCATGGGAGGAAGATGAGGCGGAATCACAGATTATTTTGTTTTCCACACAAGGCTACAGACAGCTCCATGTGAGGTAGCGTACACCGAGAATCCACCTTCACAGCTGTGATGTTCAGCTTATTTAGACATTGAGCGAGGTACTTAGTTATGAGTAACTTTATTACTATTATTACTTAGAATGCCCTGCGTTATAGTCCACTTCCTGCTTTTGGAGCAGTCTCCGATCCGCCTGGCGTTCACACATTCAATTGAACCGCACCAGAGTTCACTTTAACCAAAGCGAGACCTAGGTTTGGAGGCTGACTAGAGTTTGCTTTTTTGGTCCACATCATAGCTCGATTACACGTTCACACCTCCGCAAATGAACCAAACTTTCTAGGCAAATGAACTAGAGTTCGAAAAAGAGGACTAACAGGGCTGGTGTGAATACACCCTTAAATTTCACTTAAAACAATATGTTGTTTACCAGCAAGTATGTGATAGACAAAAAAATGTGGGAATAAATGTTTTGTTTCTTTCACAAAGATATTGTTAAATCAAAAAGAAAAAAAATTGTATAGGTCTTCTGGACGGGTTCTTCTCTAATGAAACGTTTCGTCTCTCCTCCAAGAGACTTCTTCAGTCTGAGAGGCAAAATTCAGGCTTTTAAGCCCTGCCTCCATGTGACTGATACTCACATCACATGGCTATCGTTGACACCTAATTAACACTTATTGTTAACAGGGGGTGGAGTTGAAGAAATTTATAGTTATTGTTTAGTACTGATATTACAAACAACACCAGAGTAGTAGGGTTTCCTTATTTTATAATACTTTTATGTTTGTTATATGACGTGTTAATTAAATAAGGTAGATAAA